AAAAAAAAAAAATTTTGATCATGTGACTATAGGCATTCTGCAATGGTCAAATTGGGAGGACTGGTAGTTAAGTCATTTTTTTCATAATGATCGTTTAACTTCGAAAGGTCACTAAATGAAACATTGTAAGTTGAGAACTATCTGTATGGCATTCATTCCAGTTTAATTGCCAATGACAACAATTTCTTCCCTCAGAAGCCAAATTTCCTTTAGAGATGAATACGATAAAGGATTTCCACTGAATATAATTGACCCTGAATATAATTCAAATGTTAAAATATTTAATTTAATAGCTGGAACAATAAAGTTATAATGGGCCAAAACACACAGGTGCAGTTGATTGGTTGGAGAGTGTGGGCTCCTGCCTGAGGCTATCTACATTATGATTGGTTGCTGGGTGTAAAGGGGGAGTTTCCCTTTTTTCCCGCCTTTTTTCTTCTGTGGGCTCTGTAAGTTGTTCTCTGATTTACCTCATGATGTAGTGATGTGCCCGACTATCTTGTCTGCTTTAAATATAAATGTAAAATATATTTATTTATATAAAACTACAAATTCGTGTCAGCATCTCTGACTCCATTTGGACACCGGCTGCGCAATTCCTTGACATCAAAACAAGAAGCCTTCCTGGAATACCACAAAACACGTGGATTTGTACCCCGTCCAAAATGTGAGTTATTTTTTTAAGGTACAAAGTTCATAGAGCACCTCAGTTTCATAGGCTATTTAAAGCAGAATGGATTCTCAATTTCTGCTCAGTCTATCATGGCTTGCAATTTTATGGGTTAACGTATTTATTTGCACATTGCCTTTAGTATTTTTATTATTATTTTTAGAAATAACTCAAGGCAGCAAGAACCCACCCTTTCTCCTCCTATTTTCCCCACAACAACCCTGTGAGGTGGGTTGGGCTGAGAAGAAAGAGCAACTGGCTTTCATAGCGAAGGCAGGATTTGAACTCATGATCTCAACACTTTTCTAGCCTGGTTCTTAACCACGGGTAGGCAACCTTGGCTCTTTTATGATTCGTGGACTTCAACTCCCAGAATTCCTGAGCCAGCCATGCTGGCTCAGGAATTCTGGGAGTTGAAGTCCACGAGCCATAAAAGAGCCAAGGTTGCCTACCCCTGCACTAGACCAAACTGGCTTTATAATTATTTGACTACAGTTCTTACTATTTCTCTTTGCTTAAAGCTTAATAGCAAGCATCATTGAAAGTGTTACCTTCAATTGATCATTTGATGAATTAAATACCAGAAAAATATATCTTTAATATTTTCTAGACCCCTGGGGACTGATTTGCGCTTCATTCTTTTATTTTCTTCATGTTTTCTATGGGTGACGTGTGTTAGTTTCTATATTTTCTCTATAAAAACTAAACTTAAAAAAAAACAACCAGAAAATATCTGTGGAGATTCTGTCATCTGGCCAGAACCGATGAAGCTTCTTGGATGAGAAGCGAAACATCTTCTTTTTCTTCCTCAAAGAAAAAACAGTCCAGTTGCCTTTTGAAAAAGCACCTTTGAGACAACCCAGAAAATAATTTTCACAGGGGCATCTTCCAATTCCCTTTCACAATCTTTTGCCGAACCACAATATATAATGCATTCAAATCATACATGAAGCTGGTTCTCCTTCCCAGAGGAAATCAGAACTCAAATAAAGTGACTTCCTTTCCCTGTTGTCAGAAAGAAAACCCACAGACTCGGTCATTCTTTCAAATTTCCTTTATTGAGGGAATAAATTCCTCGGCTGGGACCATTTGGTATCCTGTTCTACATGAGAGGGAAGTTTCTTTAAAAAAAAAAAAATCAAAGGTACAAGGCAGGGACCATCCTTCCCTGCCTCGGGTCAAGATCCTGCCTTTCGGCCAATGGAGCTCCAAACTACGTTAAAAGTAAAATACTAAAAAGCTGCTAAAATTATATTGGACCCATATCATTTGCATTGTCAGATATAAGGTTTAATTGCTGTCACACACTTGGTCCCTCTTGAATGGATCACTCTGGAAGAGAAAAGAGAGGGATATAGTTATAGGGAGCAAGTAGCTTCCAGGTTTTCAATTCTTCTGGCCTTGCCACTCCAACTATGACTATTTTTTTTTATCATAATGGTAAAGATTCCCTCAAATCAAGGCCAATTCCTGAGCCATGTAGTTTTCTTGGAAATATTTTGCCACTAGGATTTTTATTATTATTTTGACTTCACAATCTAGCGTCTAACTTTAGGATCTCCTCATGGTCTCCCATCCCAATATTAATAAGATCCAACCTTCTATGGTTTGTCCAAATCAGTCAAAATACCACCACTTAACTGGGTTTGAAGCCCTCCATCAAATCAGTTGCCGAACTTGAAACCAGGTCATGGATGTTCACAGATTCCCTCTGAGACCAAAAATATAACAAAACCCATAAATACTGACCTGGTTTGTTTTTATGCACCAGGTTAAACTTTCCACTAGAGTTCGGTACAATTAACATACTGGTGACATTGCGGAAGTGGCCCTTAGGAGCCAAATCTAATGAAACAGATCCAAAGTGAGACTGTTTACTAGTAATGAACGTTTGATTCTTCAAGCTTCCAATATCATCCACTTCCCAAACATTTTGATAAAAATGCATGGAGGCAGACATGCTTGCAAAGGGCCATTGCTGACTCCAATCTCACCATCTTGGCCAGGACTGGTTTCTAGAAAGTTTCATAATTCCCCTACCACCCCTTACCCAGTAGAAGCTAGTTACTTCTCCCCCTTTCCTTGATTCTCGGGGACCGTTTCCAAAACAGGGGCTGCCGGCGGGGAAAGGAGCAGCAAGTTGGTCACTGGAGGCTTCTCCTTGGCCTCTGCAGGGGCCACTTTCCCAGGCACGTTGCTCGATCCAAAGAGGCTTTGTGGGGTCACGTTGACGTTGGGAGAAGAAGAGGAGGAGGAAGATGAAACAACGGAGGCCGCTGTGCTGTGGCCAGGCTTGGCAGGCAGGCCCCCGGAGACAAAGGCGGTGTACTGATTCCAGAAGGAGAGGGGGCCCACCCCTACCAGTTGGGCTGGGATGTCCCGTCCCAGGAAGTCCTGCAGCTTGACTTGGCCTCCAGAGAGCACTGGCAGGGGCCCTTCCAAAGGCAGGCGGCGTGCCCGCCGCATCTGGTTATTGCTCCAAACGTGGCTTCCCAGATGAACCTTTGGAGAAAAAGAAAGTAGGAGAAGGACTAGGGAGGTATAGACATGGGGCAAAAGCAAAGGAGGAGTATCAATATTTTCTTTCAATTTAGGAACTATGGGATGTCTTCACTTTGGCTGCCAAATGAGAAGACAGGATGTATTGGAAAAGACCCTGATATCTGGGAAAGATGGAAGGCAAAGGGAGAAAGAGACGGCAGAGGATGAGATGGTTAAATAGTTTAATCAACGCAATAAACATGAATTTGGACAAACTCCAGGAGACAACAAAGGGACTGGTGTGCTATGGTCCATGGGGATGCAGAGAACTGGGCAAGATTTGGTGACTGAACAACAACAACAATGGGATGTAAAGTCCACCAGGGTCTCCTGAGGTTGTCCATTCCTCAAAAGGGACAATATTCAGGAATGTTTAGAGAGAAAAGTGCACTTCCCATACACCTAGACTGTTTCAATGCAGGTAATCCTCAACATGACCTCAAGTGGAACTGGGCCTTCTGTTGCTAAACAATACAGCTGTTAAGCGAATTGTGATTGAATTTACAACCCTTTTTTGCAAATCTAGCTTCCTTCATTGACTTTACTGTCAAAAGATAGCTGGGAAGGTTGCAAATAATGATCATGTATCCCCAGGATGCTGGAACTATCATATATACAGGTAGTCCTCAACTTAAGACCACAATTGAGCCCAAAATTTATGTTGCTAAATGAGAATTTGTTAAATGAATCATTTTGCCATTATTTTTGCCACATTTGTTAAGTGAATCTGGTTTCCCCATTGACTTTGTTTGTTACAAGATCAGCAAAGGAGATCACATGACCCCAGGACTCTGTAAGCATCATTAATATGAGTCAGTTGTCAAGCATCTGAATGTAAATCATGTGACCATGAGGATGCTGAAATGGTCATAAGTGTGAAAAATGGTCATATCTCACTTTTTTCAGTGCCATTGTAACTTCGAATGGTCTCTAAGCGAATTGTTGTAAGTTGAGGACAACCTGCACAAAAAGGTTGTGAAGCCTCTAAATCATGATCACGTGACTGTGAGTTTGCTGTGATAGTCATAAATTCAAGGACCGGATATAAGTTATTATTTTCAATAGTATTGTAACTTTGAGCAATCATTAAAGTTGCAAGTCAAGAACTATCTGTAAAGACTTATTATAGCCAGATTCACCAAGACAGGAAGCAGAACTTTTCAATTTTTCAACATCGGCCTCCCCTCCAAAGATGGGTATACAAAACAGGAACAACTTTCCCTAAATAACTTAAGGTGCCTTTTCAAGAGGCAACTGGATTTTTCTTTGAAGACGTTACAATTTTGAAATTGAACAGCCCTCTCTCAATAGAGGGGAAGGATACAACATCATCTATCTCCAGTCTACAACACAGTTCTTTCAGCAGTTCCAAGAAGGCTCCACACCCACTGCATCACTCAGGTGGCCCTGAGGACACAGATAAACCTCCAAGTGACCTCAATGACTCTCTAAAAGAATGCAAATGACCAGCTGTCTGCAAGGAGTATAAATCCTTCCATTCCCCACCATCCAGTCAGAGCTGAAGAAGCTTCTTCGATAAGAAGCAAAACATCTTCAAAGAAAAACAAGAAAGTCCAGTTGCATCTTGAAAAAGCACCTTTGGGATAACCATGATCTGGATCAGTGGTGGCGAACCTATGGCACGGGTGCCAGAGGCGGCACTCAGAGCCCTCTCTGTGGGCACGCGTGCCATCGCCCCAGTCCTAGGCCTTCAGCTGAGTTTTATAAAACCTTTTTGCTTTAGGCCTCCGCTGCCATGTACAAAAAAAAAAAAAAAAAAGATTCAATCAGTCAATTTCAACTTCTCGTGGGAAAAAAAAGATCTTTCAAAGTTGGAGTTGATTGATTGAACTTTTTAGTCCCATCCAGTCTGCCGTTACCACCGCAGCCACGCCCACCCAATGGGCTACATCCACCCGGCACCCAACGATGCATAAGTGGGTTTTGGGTTGCAGTTTGGGCACTCGGTCTCTAAAAGGTTCGCCATCATTGATCTGGATGATTGAGAATCTCTATAAACATTTGGCAGAATGGGAAAATCCTTGCTTCTCTACAATTACCAGCATTCTTCACTCCAATCATGCTTGGGTGGGATGCTGGGCAAGCTTGCTGATCGGAAGCAATAAGAGGTGAAATCACATAATATCTTCTCAATCTGTTATATTATCTAATTTTCTTTTGAAGCCAGACTTGAGGAAGGCAAATACACAACTGGCATGGTTGTTCAACAACTCAAAGAGAAACTGGACATGAAGTGGCAAGCATGCTTGTCTCTTGCTTAGGACCAGTCTGAGAAGCGAGGTCTGACCTTTCACGCGAAGTATTAATACTGCTTTTTAAAACCCTAGTAAGACCACACCTGGAATGCTGTAATCTATTTTGGTCACCATACTACAAAAAAGATGTTGAGACTTTGGAAAAAGTTCAGAGAAGAGCAACTAAGATGATCAAAGGCATGGAGGCTAAAACATACGAAGAACGGCTGCAGTACTTGGATTTGGCTAGTCTAAGGAAAAGAAGAAACAGGGGCAACATGATAGCAGTATTTCAGTACTTGAGGGGCTGCCACAAAGAAGAGGGGGTCACATTATTCACCAAAGCACCAGAGGGAAGGATGAGAAATAATGATTGGAAACTGATCCCAGAAAGAAGCAAACTGGAATTAAGAAGAAACTTCCTAACAGTGAGGACAATTAACCAGTGGAACAGCTTGCCTCCAGAAATCATGGGTGCTCCATCACTGGAGGTTTTTTAAGATGATCAAGACAAGAAGAAGATCCAAATGATCATCAGAACAATACAGGTAGTCGATTTACAACCATTTGTTTAATGACTGTTCAAAGTTACAATGCCACTGAAAAAAAGTGACTTATGACTATTTTTCACACTTAGGACCGTTGCTGTGTCCCCATGGTCACGTGATCAAAATTCAAATGCTTGACAACTGGCTCATATTTATGACGTTATAGTGTCCCAGGTCATGTGATCACCTTTTGCAACCTTCTGACATGCAAAATCAATGGGGAAGCCAGATTTCACTTAGCAATCGTGTTACTAATTTACTCACGGTGTTACTAACTATACTGGGTTAGTAACTGGGTTAGTAACTAACTGCAGGATTTCACTTAACAACTGTGGCAAGAACGGCCGTAAAATGGGGCAAAACTCACTTAACAATTGTCTTGTTTAGCAACAGAAATTTTGGGCTCAATTGTGGTCGTGAATCAAGGACTACTTCTACAGTTTAGCAAAATATTTGGGATTTCTGGGGATTATTTCAAGGTGGGGTACAGTTTAAGCATATGCCAGCAAAGAACCTAGGAAGTTGCAGCATAGGTTGCAGCATAGGATAATTAAATGTTTCTCCATAATCAGAAATGGCACAAGAGTAAAAGATGGTGTAGGACAACTACGGGGTTTCCTCAGGAACAGCATGGAAGTGGTCTATCCTATTTTTTGACTTCCCAGTCTACAGATCTGGATTCCCTCCTAGTCTCCCATCAAGAGGCCAACCATTTCTGTTTCTACCCACAGGACCACTTTGCTGAAGGTCCAAGGTGGGTTAGCTGCAGGCACCTGTTCTTAGAAAGGCCCCATTGCACTGAGGGTGGTGGGGGACTACAGAGCACCAGGCTAGGGAAGGTTGGCCTACAGCGACAACCAACACAAAGGTTATGAAGGCCTCATCCTGCTGAACTGCAGATCATGGGAGAGTTGTGGCACCATAACATCTGGAGAACATCCATAGGAAGGATGTAGCCTTGCCTACCCCAAGGTTATCTCTAGAGGTCGAGAGAGAGCACATGAGGGAAGATACTTTCCTATCCAAGACCACAAGGGGGCAGAGGAAGCCAAATGTCCCCTATCCCAGAGGTCCCCTACCTTTGGGGCACAGGGACAAGTTTCGTGGAGAGAGGTTTTTCTGTGGACCAGAGGGCACGTGGTTTTGTATGCTGCCTGCATCTCGCGGATGGGGCTTTGCTTGTTTGTGCGGACCGGTTGCTGGCATGCTGCAGCCTGGTACTGGTCCACGGACTAGAGGTTGGGGACCCCTGCCCTACCCCACCACCTTGATTTCTTACCTGGGGATGGGCAGTCATCGCATGTTTGCGCAAGGCTGCCCTATCGGTGAAGGGCTGTTTGCAAATCCCACAGATCAGCACTGGTTCCTCTTTGGCTTGGCTGCCCTGATGCTGCTGTTTGTCAGATGGACCTTCTCCACCTTCTCCCCTATCCTTCTCTGGTTCTTCTTCCACCGGGACAGTTCCTCCACCCTCTTCTTCCATATCCACCTTCTCTTCCCCATCCTTCAAGGGGAAGGGAGGGCTTTGGGGCCCCAGTGGGGAGGAAGAGGGTGCTCCGGGTCCTCCCTCTTCCCCCTCAGGCTGCCCCATTTCCTCCCCTTCCTTGGGAGGACCCAGACCTTCGGGGCTGGAGACCTGCTCTGCCTTTTCGCCAATGCTTTCCACCGAGTCTTCGTCGGTGGGCTCCTCTTCTTCCTCCTCCTCTTCCGACAGCTCTTCCTCCTGGGGGGCAGATGGCTGCTCTCGTGGCTTTTCCCCTTCTCCCAATGAAACCCCCTCTGGGGCAGAAGGCTCAGACAGGAGAGCTCCGTTGGGGATCTGCCCACCCAGGTGCATTCGGACGTGCTGTTGGAGGCTCACGGCATTGGTGAACTTCTTCTGGCAGATGGGACAAGAGTTCTGCGCTCGGGCGGATGGGCTGGTTTTGTGGCCCACAAAGTGAGCCCTCAAGTTGCCCCTGGTGGAGAAGGCTCGCCCGCAGACCTTGCACTTGAAGGGGCGTTCGCCCCCATGTTGCCCATAGTGGAGTTGCAGAGCTCGGGGACAGCTGAGGACCCTTAGGCAGATGACACATTGATTAGGCCCCGAAGACGCCAGAGAAGATGATGCCGAGGAGCCGGCTATGGATGGGGCCATGAGGGCCGCTCCCGAGGAGGATGGGGATCCCTGACGGTCGATCTTCTCCACCAGCTGCTGGAGCTTGGAGGTCTCCGAGGGAGAGGCCTCCAGGACGTAGGGGAAGGGCCCCACAGCCGGCCCTGCCTTGAAGTGATTGGCCAACAGAGCCCAGCTGGGCAAGGCCCCCACAAGCTTCCCAAGCTGAAGACGGCCCCCCTCTGCCTCTGATTCAGGAGGGGTGTTCTCATCCCCCTTCCCCTTGGCTTCCACTGCCTTCATCAGGACCAGCTTGTTGAAACTAGGCAAGGCTTGAGCTGCAGCCGAAGGGGCCGTGCCAGAAAGCAGGGTCAAACTCTCAGTGGCGCTCAGGGCCTTGCGCTCAGCCACAGGAAGGGCCCCATGTTCCTCTCCGGACTCCGCTTTCTCAGGCGGCACAGACATGCCGTAAGGAAGCCCCGAAGTGGTCAGGACATAGTCCAGATGCTCTGGGACCGGGTGAGGGTTCATCTGGACATGGGGGTACTTCTCTCGGTGGCGATGGAAATGGACCTTGAGGTTGCCTCGGGTGGTGAAACGGTTCCCACAGATGTTACACTTGTAGGGACGCTCGCCGGTGTGGGAGCGCAGGTGGATCTGGAGGGCGCTGTCGCTGCCGAAGATCTTCCCACAGAAACGGCATTTGTGGCGCCCGCTTGGTTTCTCGCCTTCCAAGTTGAGTTCTCCTCCTCCTCCTCCTCCTCCTCCTCCTGCTCCGTTCTTCTGTCGCAAGAGTCCAGGAGATGTGGCCTGCTCCAGACTCCGGGCAGTCCCTAAGCACTGGGCTGCCAAGACGCCTGTGGCTGTAGGGAAGGCTGGAGCCAGGAGCTGCTCAGCCTTAGGTACCCTGGTGCCACCAGGGAACGGGTGGTAGAGATGGAAGAATGCCGGCTTGGGCACATCTGGAGAGGCAGACACTTGGCTCCTCCCGGGCTCAGTCTTGATGGAAAAGACGGGCAAGGGAGGCTTGGGGGGGACAGACGCCACCGGAGCTGGTTCCGTGGTGGGGGCCGGAGTCCCAACCTGCCCCCATGAACTCAAGAGCAACACCTGGCGGCAGATCTGCTCCGTCATCTGCATCTGATGGAGCTGGCGTTGTTGCAGAACACGCAACTCTTCCAGGATGAGAGGGATGTTGAGGTGCCCAGTTGGGAGAGTGGTGGAGGGAGGCAGGGTTGGGGGTGGTGGAGGAGGGGGCCGGGAAGAGGCAGATTCTTGGCTTGGCTCAGTCAACAAAGGTCCAGGCTCCACGTCCATGCTTGGAGAACTTTCGGGGTGGACCTCAATGGAAGAGGAGGATGAGGAGCAGACGCTAGAGTGCTCCTGGCCAGCGGCGGGAGTAGTCGCAGGACCGGCCGAACTGGGGGCTCGCTCTGAGAAGCAAGTACTGGTGTGAGCGGATAACTCGGAGTGTTCCTTGAAGGTGGTGTGGCAGGAAGGGCAGGAGAAGGGGCTGGAGTCATCCCCAGGGTCTCCTGGGAAGATAGAAGAAAGAAAAGAGAAGAGAAGAAGGGGACAGAGTTAAGTCCAGATCTGTAAAAATAATAATTATAAATACAGAAACATAAAAAAAACTGACGGTAGAAAAAGACTTATAACCACAACTGAACTCAAAATTTCTGTTGTTGAGTTTTGCGCCATTTGATGACTTTCCTTGCCACAGTTGTTAAGTGAATCACTGCAGTTGTTAAATTGGTGACACGGTTGTTAAGTGAATTTGGCTTCCCCATTGACTTTGCTTGTCAAAAGGTCTCAAAAAGACGATCACATGACCCCGGGACACGGAAACCGTCCTAAAAATGAAACAGTTGCCAAGCATCTGAATTTTGATCACATCACCATGGGGATGCTGCAAAGGTCGTAACTATGATAAACGATCATCCGTCACATTTTTCAGTGCAGTTTTGTAACTTTGAATGGTCACTAAATGACCTGTTGTAAGTCGAGGACTACCTGTGGCCCATTGTGTCTGCCCTTTGAGTTTTTTTTGTTTTCTTTTACATTTATTTATTTTTTATTTATTTTGTTTTTTTCATTTCTGTTTTTGATTATCCCAAACATGTTTAAACTCAGTTACTGAGAATTGACCCACTAATTGGTTCCAGATTTCCACTATTCTTTCTGTGAAGTAATACTTTCCAAGTATTGTGTTTGAACTTCTCTACTGTCAGTTTGGACTTATGCCCTCGATTTTTTGCTTAATATTCAAAATACAGGTAGTCCTCGACTTAAAACAATTCATTTAGTGACCATTCAAAGTAACAATGGCCCTGAAAAAGTGACTTACGACTTGTTTTCACGCCATTTTAGCCTCCCCATGGTCACGTGACCCAAATTCAGCCGCTTGGCAAATGACTCAGATTTATGACGGTTGCAGTGTCCCGGGGTCACGTGATCCTCTTCCGACAAGCAAAGTCAAAAGGGAAGCCTGATTCACTTAACGACGGCGTTACTAATTTAACCCCTGTGGTGATTCACTTAACAATTCTGGCAAGCAAGGGGGCAAAGCTCACTTAACAAATGTCTCACTTAACAACAGAAATTTTGGGCTCAGTTGTGGTCGTACGTCGAGGACTACCTTTACTGCCTTCTAAAACCTTATTCACACCCTTTCATATATTTAAAATATATTTAACATATTTAAAAGGCTGCTGGTCCAGATTAGCAAACTCCCAACCTCTGCATGATAATATACGTGTATATATAATCTTAAATCAGATTGGCTGCATATTCAAAGCAGAGATCCACTAATGCTTGGCGTAACGGAAGGGGGGAAAGAGTGGGTGTTTTTGTGGGAGGGGCAGGTGTTGCTCACACAAGTGAGGCCGAGAGGACCCGTGACGCTCGTATGAGTAAGGCACCGAACGCTCACATGAGTGGGGCTAAAAGCCCAAGGCTCGCACGAATGGGGTCCCGAGCGCCCGTGATGCTCGTGCGAGTGAGGCCCTGAGCGCCTGTGATGCTTGCACAAGTGAGTGAATGGGGCAGTGACTGCCTGCGATGCTCATGCGAGTCAGGCCCCGAGTGCCCGTGACACTTGTGCGAATGGGGCCGTGAGCATCCGTGACCCTCACACGAGTGGGGCTGTGTGTGTCACACATGCAAGTGCATCAGCCAGCCTCTCACGCGGCCCGGTTGCAAGCAGGCTACGGACCGGTGGTGGGCCGTGGCCCGCAGGTTGGGGACCCTGCACTAAAGTTCAATTTTCCCTCCAGCGGGATGTCTACAGTAGTCCTCGACATTCAACTATTGCTTTCGTGACCATTCAAAGTTACAATGGCAATAAAAAAGGTGATGGGACCGGTGCTCACACTTACGACCATCACACCATCCCCATGGTCGCACGGTCAAAATCTGGCCGCTTGGAGACTGGCATGTATTTACGACGGTCGTCGCATCCCAGAGTCATGTCATCCCCATTTGCAAACTTTCCGACACGCAAAAGTCAATAGGGTGGGGGAAGCTGGATCTGTGTGGTTCCCTTAACGGCTGCAACGATTCGCTTAACAACCGTGGCAACAAAGCTCCTAAAATGGAGACCAACTCACTTAGCAATGCTTGGCAATGAAAATTCTGCTCCCAATCGTGGCCGTTAAGTCGAGGACTACTTAATAATTCCCCAAAGGTTTAACCATGCATGTGGAGAGCAACCAGGTTGGGGAAAGTTGGCATCAACTCTCAAGCAGGACAATCTGTGTGTGGCATACCGCAACCCATAAACACCGAGAGGTGCAGATGGAAAATTTACGCCTGCCAGAGGCCCTTCTGACAAACAATACATCCAATGGATGTAATGTGATGCAGGAGTTAAAAAGATACTCGGCGTTGCTTAGATTGTATCTGGGTTGTGTCCAGCTCTGGCCACTGTACGTTTCAAAGGGAGATGGCGAAACTAGAGAAGATTCAGAGATCTCCTCCTTGCGGATCGGGAAAGCCGGCCTTGTGAAGGTCAGTGCAAAGATCTAGGCCAGATCTAGCTTGCAAATGATATATATGAGGGCCATCTACAAGGATCAGAATCAGAATAGAATAGAGCTGGAAGGGACCTTGGAGGTCTTCTAGTCCAGCCCTATACCATTTCAGACAAGTGGTTGTCCAGTCTCTTCTTAAAAACCTCTAGTGATGAAACACCTACAACTTCTAGTGGCAAGCTGTTCCACGGGTTAATTGTCCTCCCTTTTAGGAAGTTTCTCCTTAATTCCAGGTTGCTTTTCTCCTTGATTAGTTTCCATCCATTGTTTCTGGTCTTGCTGTTCAAAGGCTGTCCCCCCACTTCAAGACCCCTTTGGCCACAAAAGTGCAAGCAGGATCAGAGTGTTTAAAGTCAAGAAAGAAGATTGACTGTTAAGGGATAGACCAGCCTGCCACTACACTGGGAGCCTAAAAATAGGATTATGGACAGTGGAGTGCCTCGGACAAGGATCCGATGGCCTGGCTTTATTGAAGATAGTTTAGCAGATTCTTGTTCTGAGTCATAATTGGACTAGAATCAATGTTTCTCAACCCTGACATCTTTAAGCTATATGGACTTCAACTCCCAGAATTCCGCAGCCAGCAAAGCCTAGACCAGGGGTAGGCAACCTTGGCTCTTTTATGGCTCGTGGACTTCAACTCCCAGAATTCCTGAGCCAGCTTGGCTGGCTCAGGAATTCTGGGAGTTGAAGTCCACGAGTCATCAAAGAGCCAAGGTTGCCTACCCCTGGCCTAGACACATGTTTTTCAATAAAATCTAGCATCTCTTATGACAGGGTTTCTCAATCTTGGCTACTCTTTTTAAGATGTGTGAACTTCAATTCCCAGAATTCCCTAGCTAGCAAAGTTTAACATGTTTGTCAATAAAATCTGGAATCTTACATGACAGTGTTTCCTCAACCTTGGCTACTCTTTAAGATGTCTGAACGTCACCTCCCAGGATTCTCCAAACAGCCGTGACTGCCTGGGGAATTCTGGGAATTGAAGTCCACACATCTTAAAGCTGCCAAGGTTGGACCAGCTGACCCTACAATTCTAATGCATGAAGTCAACTGGTTTTTCCAGCTTCCTCAAACTGGTGGCCCTCCAGATATAACCAGCACCCATTCCCAGAAACCCCCAGCCCACTAGCACTCATGGAGGCGGGGGAATTTGGGAAGTGTAATCTAACACATCTCTAGTTCTGGCCCTGAGCTTTTAACAGCTTCCTTTCCAGACATTTGGGTGATCCTCAAGGACTGATCCTGCCATTTTCAATCAGGAGCCCTTGAGCCAAGCTTGGGAGGAAGAGGAGGGGGAGGGGAGAGAGAGAGAGAGAGAGAGTGAGAGAGGAACCGCCACCACAGCAAAATGGTGGGTCTGCCTTTACTAACATTCAAAGATCAGGCCTACCCGAGCCAAGTTTCTAGACCTCATGGTTAATCTTTCAAAAAAAAAAAAAAAAAAGCAGGGAAAAGAAGTTAGCAGGACCGGCGAAGGATGTCAGAAGGGAAGCATCGCATCCAACAGACTCAACCACCGCTTTGCAATCTTAGGGAAACGAGGATCTCGTCTAGATCGCCGCCCCCCCCCCCATGTTGTTTGCGGGTTTTTAAACCCGGCTGAGCGCACACACACACACACACACACACCTTCTTGCAGATCTCCTTCTTGGCGCATCCTAAACCGGGGAGGGAGGGAGGGAGGGAGG